TAACGTTGAAAATAAGGTTCCTTTAAAGTTTACGTTTTTACCTTTCTCTCAGTTTTGAGAACCAGGATCTGCTAAAATAATTCAGGTTATAGGTGGAGTTAGAGAAATTGCTCAAAATCCACATAAGATGGCCAGCTCAGCCTTTCTCGGATAAAAAAATTAATCGGAAAAATGAAGCCCTTATATATGTGACAGCAAGACAAAGGTTTCTAACAAGGAATATTTACTATTGTAAAATATACTTCTCAGTTGATAAGCCTTTATGGAGTAACTCCTACGACCGACTTTCTATTAACCTCGGCGTTGATTAAGTAATTTTTCGTATTTTTGTTGAGCAAACGCGAGGTGTTATTATTCTTTGTTCACGATTAAGCTGACGTTTCGGTGGATTTCGCCTTCCTCAGAGCCTGGAAAGGTCAAGTTGACACCAATCTATTCAGCCAAACACCTCCATAACCAAGCAGAGAAAACGCTAAACCAAGATTTCAATCACATTGAACACAGCTCTGCCCACTCACCGCTTTCTATGGGACTTCCACTGTGTACGTCGCGTGGAGACCAACCGCACAGAATTCACATGGAAGCGTAATGTGCCCCTGCCATCAGAATAACAGTTTTATATACTGCCTAATATCACGCGTGATAATGAGGCATTTTTCCCTGCGGTTCATTTTCGGATTTCTGGAATTAATCCAGAATGCCTCGAGAGTTTTGCGCGCTCGTGATCTTGATTCGTGTGCGAGGATCGTGACTAATATTTCAAAGTCCTCCCCGTTATGTCTCTGGGTCCTATGAGTGCCTAGCGGGGTATTTGGTCTATGTTTGCCGGCTAGGTGTTTTTTTATGCAAACCTTTATGTCGAAATCACAATGTAAGCCTTTTCTTTTCTGCATCAGCTTAACTGGGTTCAATGCCGATTTATATTCCTCAGATCAATTCCGCTGACGGATGTTTGCTGATGGCAGCGTTAGGTAGAAAACTAGCTGACAAAAACGCAGATCAAAGGCCACCGTGATTCAGTGTGTAATACTCGATCCCCCGGAAAGAGGAATTGTGGTTTGAACTGGTTAGGGATCCAAGTTTTGCGAATATCTCAGCATCACAATGTTTACTTTTTTGTTTATCGCCTATTGCATTTTTTCACGGCAGGGTACTACGTGTGTCAAGACCACAACGAAGCTAAGATTTTCGCAAAACCTGAACCCTGATCAGATCGAACCAGGATTGCCCTTTCTGGGGTTCGCGCATTACACACTGGGTCACTGAGGCCCTCGTTCTGCACTTCTCTCAGCTAGTTTTCTGTCTACCATTGCCATCAGCAATCACCCGTAAGGAATTGATCTATGAAACCTACATCGAATAGGAAGAAGGATTGAAAACTACCTGAGGAAAGGCAGAACATCGGTCCTCATCGCGCAGTGTGTAGTGAGCGAGCTCTCAGGAAGGAAAATCGTGGTTCGATCTTGCACAAGGTCCAAGTTTTGCGAATATCTCAGCACCGTTGTGGTTGTATCACACATAATACCCTGCCGTGAAAAATTATGATAGTCGGTAGATAAAAAGTTAACATTGTGGTTTCGACTGCAACACCAGCTTTACTGGGTTCATTGCGGATTTGGGTTGCCCGGATCAACGGCGTTGACATGTGATCGATAGGAAACTAGCTGAGAGACAGGCGAAACGAAGGACCCGCATGGTGTGGTGGTGAATGCGTTAATCCCCGGAAAGGACAATAGCGCATTCGTTTCCCACTGCACACACCTGCAGGCTGGAGTTTTGCAAATATTTCAGCATCATTCTGTTGAATTAGAACTGTTGTTTGTGAAAAACAATAACAAGCTCCTCCATTGAAAAACGAATGGGCCGAAGTGGTAAGCGCGTCAGGCTTGAAATGATCAGATATTTCACATCTTAAGTTCGAAGTGCCAAAACATCCTTTCTTATACTTGCTTATCAAAACTCATGAGTTGGCATACTCTTATGATCTAGCGCCTACCGACCCCTCAACCTGCAGTGTTAGACTCATTATCAGTTGTGTAGATGGGCCTACTGATAGAATAGCATGTTTTATAAATCTAATTCTCTTCTAGTTGCTTAAGCACATACCAGCCTATCTCACGAACATCCAAATCTTCCTAGACCGTCTGCGCAACGCAAGTCCCAAAAGCGCGTACGTTATGGAGCCCTTCAACGTTACCGGCCTTTACATTAATGTGTCGAATGACTTCGCATTGCAAGCCATCCGCAAGTTTCTTGAACAACACGAAGGCGTAACAAAAACTATGCCTTCTCTTATATAATGCGGAAACATTTGCAAAACTCTGGGCCGCAGGTCTATGCGGTGGGGAACGAACGCGTGTTATTCTCGTTTTCGGGGAGTAGCGCACTTCACCACCACGCCATCCGGGTCCTTGGCTTTGCCTGTCTCTCAGCTAGGTCTATTGATCTTTTTTTGGAGAGGGGGGGAGGGTAAAAGGGTTAAGATTGTGGTTATAACTAAGCCTCAGCTTAACTGGGTTCAATGCCGATTTGGGCTCCCCAGATCAATTCCGTTGACGGGTGTTTGCTGATGACAAAAAGATCAATAGAACTAGCTGAGAGACAGGCTAAATGAATGGCCCGGATGGTGTGGTGGTGAAGTGCGCTACTCCCCGGAAAGGACAATAGCGCGTTCGTTCCCCACCGCAGACACCTGCGGTCTGGAGTTTTGCAAATATCTCAGCATTATATACGAGTTATATTTCGCAACATACTACGCCATTAAAAAGAAAAAGGCAGTAAATAAAAGGGTTAAAGTTTTGGCTTCTCTATTAAGCAGCTCATGGTCCTCCTGAAGATGTGCCTAAACTGCAAGATTTTCAGATAGTCCGGGAAATATTACGACGAAATTAAAGGATTGGCAGTGGGACAGAGACCGAGGCCACCTCTTGCCATTGCATTAGTGTCTAAAGTGGAAACACCAGCAAACGTTCTCCGTCTCTTTCTCTACTGTAGGTATATAGATAATTGTCTTGTCATCTGCTCCACACAAGAGTAGATGGAGAAATACTTAATGAATAGTAAGTTATTGAATGAACACTCAGGGTGCATAAAATTCATTCGAAAAAAAGGAAAACAAAACTGGCCTCCGTTTCTAGACGTTCAAGTTAACCTAACCCAAAAAGGCTGCTTTACAAAATGGTGCCGAAAGCCAAGTAGTGAAAACATAGCGGCTCATTACCTCTTCTCTCACCTTTCACACAACAAATTCAAGAAATATGTTTCGAACCACCACCAGCCTATGCATAGGTAAAAAGCACAAGGAAGAATCTTTGAAATTGTTGTGGGCGGCAAATAGCCATTTCAAATGGCTGCGAAACTCTAGCTCCTCGGGACTGGCATGGGGGGAAAGCCACGCTTCGAAATGATAATTCTAGCAAGAACAAGACTCCGTTAATCTTGCCCTTTATGTCGAACGAAATCAGTGCAGCTATAAAACGTCACTTAAGAGAGGCAGGTCTAGAGAATTCGGTAAGAGTGTTAGAAATACAATTAGACACTCTAAGACGCCGCTTGTTCCTAACTGCCTAAATAACCGTCTGTGTACAACGACAAACTTCATAATTTACCCTAACAGTTGAGACGGAGATTATATGAGTTCGGATAAGACTTACCTAATCTCTTGTAAAGCATGTGGAAGCAAATACGTTAGCGAGACGGATAGACCATTCTGCGTTTGCTTAAAGGAAAACCTAGTCAGTAAATCTAAGTTGAAAACAAACACTCCATTGGGTGCGCATAGGACAGAAAAACATAACGGAGAAGGTTTCGAACTAGATGTTACTATCCTCTCACAGGAATCCAAGACATCAGAACGAAAAACTCTTGAAGCGTTTTGGATTATTTCCAAAAGTTCAAAAATGAATCGCAAAGAGGAGAGCCTTGATATCACGCGTGACCTCGGGCCATTCCTCAGACTGACTCTATGAGCTGACCCAGGCACATTGCTCGCTCAGGTATTACCCTCTGCGGCTGCTCCCCACCAGCTAATTGAAATATTTGAAAAACACAAAGCAGTGTTTAATGGAAGCTGTTTATTATGCGAATGCAAATTTATATGGCAAGTCTTAACTGTTAAGGGTATGAAAAAATGTTTGGCTGAGTAGTTCGCAAGTCAATTTGATCTTTCCAGGCTCTGAAAAGGTCGAAACGGCCGAAACGCCGGCTATTTTGTGCTAATAAACTCTGTAATGCTAACCTCGCCTTTGCTTAACGAAGAAAAGCACTAACTAGCTCCCTCTGGGATGTCACTTTTTGAAACAAAAAAGTTTGTCGTTCACAAAGTCCTCACAGTAGCAGATAGAGTACATCGAATTGAAACCGGTATTTAAGAAAGACTTAGACAAATGACCAAGGCAGATGAATACTTTCCAATCGAAATTTTACTACAGTGAACAAATCTGACCTACTCATAAAGAGTGAGAATGCTTTAATCCAAGAGTGTGTAGTTCTTGTAGTTGAGGGTGAGAGTTCCTTGTCTCCCACTTTGTTGTTTACAAAAAGAGCGTCCGGATCACGCGGACATTTCTAGGTTCCTTTAATTTATTACTAATTCTGAGTTTTCATCTCCCACGAACTCATAATTTTTAAGTGTTTTCGACTGCTTTAAAATTAGTATAGTCACATGCGACAAGGAAATCAAGAAAGCTCAGTCGTGGTGTTAACCTTATTAAAAGAAATTTCTTCGGTACTGAAGCAATACATTTTAAACACTGTTGGGATCAGTTTATGTATTGTAGAACATAAAACAAAACAGAGGTTGCGTTATAACACATGTGGCTTCAAGGAGATACTTGAAGCACATTGTTGATGTGAAGATAACGCGGAAACCCTTTGATGGAGAAGAGAAAAACGAAGTTTAATAATAATTCCAGTTTTGTATGTAGTAGAGCAGTGGCATATAATGAGCATAAGAAGCTTCAACATCCAAACACCATCCAAGCATGAAAATCGTCATTTCATTATGTAGCGCTTTGACTCTGTCGTTGGATGTGTGTGGCACGCTCCTAAAAGCATGTATTTCAGGTGTAGTAGTTCATCATTTGACAACAAACTAGGATCAAAAAACAAAATCACCATGTTAATAGGCAAAGGTTAAAGTTTTCCATCCACCAAAACTTTTATGAAGGCTTATAGCTATAAAATTAACTGTAGAGGTATAAAATCGTGCGAGAATAAATGCAGTAGTAATCATAACTGAGTGAAGTAGCGATCTATGCTTACAACTCCTATGAAATGTAGAACTTACTCGAGTATGGAGAAGGCCATTTATAAAATCTGTCTTAACTTTATGACGAAAAAGTAGTATTAGGCTGAAATCTATCAAGATGCTTATGATTTGCTGGGCAGATTCCTTCTGCCACCGCACAGTTCTGGCGTTTCACCATAGTATTTTGGTGACGAATATGTCCTTGCTACTAGTTTTTTCTAAACTCATACACAATTTGATCACGAACGACGAATTTAAAAACGCCTTTCTATCTTTATTTTATTTTAGAAAGTTTTTAAAAAATTAATCTCATTTTGAACTGGTTCAGAAATAAAAACAGGTTCTCACTTCGCCGTCGCTGTTATAGAGGATAGTTTGTACGTTAGAACCAACACCAAATGAATCTTCACCATCGAACACAAGTGATTCAGGAGGATTGTGAACTCCCCCTTGTCCACGAGCCCAGATCTAAAATTTAATCTAAGCCTTTTCTTAAATGATAAGGAACGTTATCGACAATTCCACCTTGACGCTTTTGCCAGCTTTCAAAACAAAATCGTGTGGTATGGAATAGACGATTTCACGCTTTCCGTCTATCTTTCGCTTGAGCTTCCAGTCTCCAATCGGCTCCTCCTTTGAGCGGTGAGTGTTTTCAAGGACAACATATTTTCCTTCAGGTGATGGATCCTAGAAAAATGGCATGTTACGAATCCAAATAGATACTATGGAGAAGTGAATTTAAGCCGTAGTCTCACATGAATGGAAACGTTTCCTTTGGCCGATCGAGTGTACGAGGTTCTACTCGATGTTTCACCTTTAACAACACGCATTGTTTCTAAAATTCAATCCAGATAACAAAATGTTTTTTATATATAATGTTGAGATATTTGCAAAACTCCGGACCGCAGGTGTATGCGGTAGGGAACGAACACGCGCTGTTGTCCTTACCGGGAAGCAGCGCACTTCACCACCACACCATCCGGGTAAAAAAAATGTTTTTTCTCTACAAGGAGTAACTGCTTACCAGTGTCGGCCACTTCATTAATGCCAGTGGTACGTACTACCTGCTCAACAAGCTGCCGAAGACCAGGACCGTCTCCTTCACCTTCTAACATTTTGCGATAAATTGCAATTTCAGCGTCCAGGGTCTGGAAGAGCAATTAACAAACATGGTCTATAAGATTTTTTGTTCGGTTTCCGGAAATTCTTTTCGGATTATTATTTTTCGCTTCCTGTCGATATTCAAGTTTATTTCTGCCCACCTGTTTGGTATCGAGCAGCATTTGCAGTTCGACCATGAGAGCTTGGCACTCTTCGCGCATTTTACGAATCTGAGCGTCACGATCATTAAGTGCAGCTTCATATGAACGTTGATCGTCCTCCAACTGATAGTTCAACTCCTGGATCTGTTTTTCCAAAAGAGCATTCTGAAACATGTCATTTTTTCCTATTATTTATTTAGCACTTATATTCAAGCTGTACTACTCGAAGGCCGAAAAAGTGATTGTCAGTGAAGTGTTTGAAAAGAATTTACTTACCCTTCCCTCCAGATCGGCTAGTTTTCCTCTTAGGTCAGTGAGCTGGGTGCGGAGGCGTTTAACCTCGTCTTTCTGATAACCCTGCTCCATATTCTGTCGAGCACTCTGCGTTTGAATCTCCTGCACTTTAAGTTTGTACCACGACTCCATATCGTTGCGATTCGTGTTCATCATCTAAACTGGAACTTATGACGCTGCAATAGACAGATGAAAACAAGAAATTACAATATTACTAATTCACCTGATCATATTCGTTTCGGATATCTCTAATAGCTGATGCGAGCTCATTCTTGAAAAATTCGCGATTCTCGCTCGTTGTATCACGTGCTGCCATTGCTTGCAGTTCTTTGATTTCCTGCATTCAACATTAAAAAGCAAATGAGATAGAAAAGGTGGAACGGAATTTTTACATCTCTGTAAAGCGATACAAAAACGGAAAATACCTGGTTCGCATTTTGACAAATGAACTAAATTCTTTTAAAACCTTCGGCGTTAATCATACAACAACTTTGACGCATGTCAAAAAGCTGCGCTATACCGCTATACATTCATAAGTGTTCTAAGCAAATTTAACCCGAGGATCTTCAGATGCCTCTATTTAAATGCACCTGGTGCAATAATTATGGTCGCTTTCAAGTCAAAGCAAACACACCACATTTCAGATGGAATTTTGTAAAATGCAGCAAGCGCCACTAAAGTCTCTTCATATTTCCTTGATATTCTCAGTCAACATTCATATTTTGAGTATAAATTCATATGGAAAGCCGGATTTCATCGAGTACGACAAGGTGGTGTCTCGTAATGGTCGGTGTTTGTAGCCGGCTTACGTTGGATATTTTGAAAAGTTAGGTTTCATTTGCAATTTTTGGAATTTTCTGGCTTCAAATAAATTTGAGACTAAGAAAAACTTAAAGTTTCTTAAGTTCCAAGCGCATTTAATAGCCTGACAATCGAATGACTTTCATCAATTTTCGAAAAATCAGTGACAAGGCCTCAAGAGTTAGAGTTTTCCCTCTTCCTTGCCTTCTTCTCTATAATATTATCAAAAAATTTAGACCGAATTCAAAGCAGAGATCGGATTTCTTCCTTCACCTTTGATATGTTATATAATTACGAGAACCTTTTAGTACTAACTTCAAGAACACTGATCAATACATCACACGCTTTCAAAAACAGGTTTGTATTGAGGCAATCCATTCTTTGGTCAGCCACATCACTAACTCGGTGGTGTTCTTTCTCTTTTCACTGGAATATGGTGCAGAACCAAAAGGTCGTCTTCCAAGAAAGCTTAGGCAAACTGAGATGGAGTGTAAAGTTTTTATCTAAGGGACCATATAAATGCGAACCAGCACTAGTTTCTTTTTTTCCTCATGAATACTACTAAAAGGAAGATATGTTTGTGGTTTCTAAATCGCATTTTCTCAGATTGTTTGCGGCGCAAGCCCCAGTACAACCTCTTTCTTTTCTCCGACAGTTACTATTCCCTGTTCAATTTTGGAATAAACAAAAATTTTACGGCTCGATAAACAGAACATGTTTGTTTTTAACATGCAATTGGATTTCATCTTCCCATCAGTTTACCACCTCATCGTGGCTGTGAGGTGTTCCTGGGTATCGGACTGCGATGTACAGCGGAGGGATTCGCCCTCCGGCAGAGTCTCCCAAGCTGAGAAGGAGTCCGGCATTTTCATCAGAAAGCCTAGCTATGAGTGAAAAAATACCAGGATCAACCACCGTCTTGGTATTAAAGTCACATGGTGGTAAATCTCTCTCTGATCCACAAGGGCTGCGACTACCTGTCGTGGTGACGAGGTGACGACCTGTAGCAGACTTTGGTCAGGCTGTCCTCGGGATTCCAGGGAAACACAATGGCAGAAAATCTCCGGAAATGGTGATTATGCTGGGGCCCGCACAACTAGTGAGGACGAGCCGTTCAAGTATCAAGTAAGCAACTGGATTTCATGAGGCCTGTGCCTCGGAGGGGAGAACACGACTATTGATAACAATGACTTACTTGATCGTGAACTCTATTGATGAAGTCGATTTCTTCCAACAATGTTGCCACCTGATTCTGGTAGTCGATACGATTCAGCGTTTCCTGGTCGAGGTCCTGGAACAACGAAACGATGAGTAATCCTCAGAAGTCGCACCCACAACCAGTTCACAATGGTTTGCAATGGGAAAACAAACAGTTCTTGCACGCTGAAGTTCAGCCATCAGGCGCATGTTTTCCTTTTTAAGACGGGAAATTTCTTCTTCAAGAAGTGCTATTCTCCTCTTCAGCAGATTAATCTCGGCTTCAATATTCGACAATTTGACTAGTAACTCATCAATTTTTTCGCGATCTACAAGACGAGCTTTCGTCGCCTCCTCGAATCTGCAACACATACGTCTTTGTTATTGCAAAATCTCTCGATAATTGTAAGGGGAAACGGAAATCTAGGACAACTTTAGACAAGCCTTCATAATGATTTTTTTCAGAATCTTTATCTTGTGATCACGTGGTGAACACACATGTAAAACTTTTTTTGTCATAAAATTCGAAAGAAATCTAAGATATTCACTTTCTACGGAATTCATTCAGTTCGTCTTGAAGTTTACGAATCTCCTTTTCCAAGTCGTCCTTTTCTTTGCCGGTTTGGGTGATCAGCTGAAAACGCAGTTCGACTTCGCCTCTCTGTTTACCTATGTCGATGTACTGCGAAGTAAATTGACATACCTTCTTAGCCTGAGTCAACTCTCCTTCGTACATACTGCGGACACTGCTCGTGTCTTTACCCCATCGTCCACGGAGCATATCCAAATCAGCTTGCAGTTTACGATTTTGCGCTTCGAGGAAGCGCACCTACGGCATAAAAGCAAATCTTCTACATATGGATTTTGGTTGAAAAACTTGTTTTAATCTTAAGGTGACATTCGTAAAGACTGGAGTTAATAAGTGTTATAAAATCCTTATCAGGTTCCTTATAACCGGCACCTCATTGGCTCATTTCACTTCGATACTCATTGAAAATATTACCAACTTGGCTTATGATTAAGTTCACAAGAAGATGAAATAGCTTTTTTTAAGTTTCTATCGTACTATTTAAGAAGGGCTTTATGACTTATTTTAGTTATTTTTGGACAGCGTGAAACAGTGAGAGAAAACCCTAATGACTTTTTGCTAAGTACTTTAAGTCTTTGGTGATGACTACACTACGTTCTAAGAAAAGTTCTGCCATCTTACCTTTAATTTTTTCTCTTCCAGTCACTCTTCATAAGGCTCATGAGCACTGTCCTTTGATAACAAAATATTTTTCTAACCTTTTCAATATAGCTGGCCAGTTTATCGTTAAGGTCGCTCATCTCCTTCTTTTCTCTCTCCCTGGCATCTCGAATTGTTGATGCTGCATTTTGACCGTATGGAGAAAGTCCGCTGGCCACAGACGATGACGACATCTCCGTCACAATTTTCAGGACGCGATTCCCGGAACCTACACATACACGCTACAGAGCACACATAAAAACAATATGCGTAGACTGACTCTAGATGGATACACAAATAACAAGCAATAATTTGCTTCATTTCGCTCCGGGTTTTTTTGTTCACCTAGTGAGGCCTTTTATGAAATAATGGAAACTCCTCTCTTTGCATTTTTAGGGTTGCGACAAGTGTGTTACCGTCAATTATCATTCGCATACATACATCTGTGCAATGCGTTTGAGAGCCATTAACCATCTGTAAAATAGTCTGTGGAAACAGGTCTGAATCGTAACTTTTACCGGACTGGAACGAAGAGCAATGGAACTTAATCATCGTTCGCAACTATGAGCTATTGTACTTGACAAACCGACTATCCTTTGACCTGGGCTTAAATGATCAATGTACCTTCTTTCATTGATGGGCTAACACGAAGTTGATGGAATAAACTTTATTCGGCTAACGTTTCGCCGTCTGTCTCTTCTTCAACGCCGGTAACCCAAGTTATAGTCCACATTTCTCCGTATTATCGATGTAGCGTCTTCTTCGTCGTATCGAGTCGTATTTTACTCACTGTAGTGTTGCTCGCATGAGGTAATCCCACCCTATGATGCTGTTTTATACAGGATGGCTTTCATCGATTGTCCTGTGATAATAACTTGTAAGTGACATTGCGTTTCTAACAGTTCTACAAACAACTGCCTATTTTCTATACACCACATTTGTCCCTACTTTGTTACCATTAAGTGGCACTGTTTGTCAATGGACTTTCTAGGATATTTCCAGTTGAACATCAGTAGTAATATTTTACCAGTTTTCTTCTTTCTGTTTTCGGAAGTGGAAGTGAAAACTTTTTTGATTTCAAACTCCCATGGTTTAACCGACTGTTTGGTTGGTTAAATAACGATCTTGTACCAAAAGTAGAATTTTTTCGAAGAACCTCAAACAAACCCGGCGTTGAATAATTCTGGGAACTCGTCGTAGTAGTTCGATTGAACGTGGGTCGCGAACTGATTGAACTACGATATTCCTCAGTCATTCTTTAAAAGCTTACAGTTAATAAGACAAAAAAGATTAAAAGTCGGTGTCCTACAACCAACATGCTCGATTTAAACAAGAAAATGGATTCGGAGAAATAAAACTGGAATAGAAAGAGTCGAAATGATGATAAGTAGCTCGAGCCACTTTGACACAATGAGCGTAAAAAAAAGGGCGTTAAAAAGTCAAGAAGAGTTCAACGTAATAAACCATTCCTAAAGGCTAAAGTCAAATACAACTTCTGTGGCATTAAGTATAGTTTTCTAATGCAGTGCAATAAGCATCATGTGACAACAGAACAAAAATAGTGGAATGTATCTAAAAGCAATGAGTCGATCATGTAGAAAAAATGTTTCAGATTCTTAAAAATGGGATAAAATAAAATGCATTTACTATAGAATATTCTTAGCACTTTCTTTTCGTACAGCACAACTGAAGTCGGATACGACCTTGATCAGACGGGTCCTCTAGGTGGGGCGTCCGACCAGACCCATTAAATGTCACCGTCTGATTCTTATGTTACCATCAGTAAACTGTTTTCTTATCGATCACCTCTCACTTAAGAAGTTTGAAAGCTTTATAAAGTATTATATTACTAAAAGTGTGATTTTAATAACATTGGTAAAAAATACTAATAGAGGACAATGGCCTGTCATATGCTATAGCAAAGCAGCATACGTTGAAATACACCAATTATTAGGAAATCCTATACTTAATCCCTAGAAAATTGTACATTCCAACGAAGTAACAGCCTTGTGCCAAATTCTCACTGTTAAAAATAAATTTTCTTTCGTTATTTAGTGCTTCAAATAATTAAACTGGCAAACTAATAACAGATATTATTCAAAGGAAATTTTTGGTAAGGGCAGGTTATGGGTCAGATCAGTAAACAGCTCTAATTTAAGAATAAGCGAAAAAGTAGGTAGTGATATGTCACCTCAAATGTAGAACGGTACTACTTTTATCACTACATGAAAAAACATTGATATGTAGCTGCGAAGACCACCTACAGTAACATTGTACATCGAAAGCCATTCTTTTCAAATCTCAGAATGATGATCGACGCTTCGGCGGTATCGTCATCTTCAAAGCCGTCCTGATACGAGTCAAATATCCAGCGGCGCAAGAGGAGTTTTTATACTTTGCTAACAACCTGATTCACTTCGAGTCGAGTTTAGTGAAATACCGGGCGAGTGAGATACGTCATTCAGCGTTGGCCTTATACGGTGATTTGTTTCCAGATCTAATATGTTGGAAGGACTCAACGTTGCAGTCAAGGTGAAAGGTGTTTGATGGAGATGATTCAGGACAAGTTATGTCAACGCACAGGTACAGATTGTTAGATAGCATAGTGCACATTACAGGAAAGTTCACAAAAGAAGAAACAACAAAAAATGGAACCTGAAAGGTGTCTGCTTTTTCGTGGTCGGCTAAGTCATTGTTGGAATTTAATTCAGAGGGACCGCCTTATATAACCTGTAACTAACTATAACCTAACTATAACCGCTGATAGGTGGAACGCAATCAGAAACTGGAATAAATAATAGGTGAAAAGAAAGACACATGGGCGTGGTTCACATGATTCATCAAGCATCATCAGGTTGGATACAACAATATTCGAAGACTCGTCCACTTATTCGTCAACCGTGTTACTTCTTTATTGTAAAGAAACCGTCTGAGAAATAAATTTTGGAGGAAACGAGTAACGATAATAATGAAATTTTAAAGCAATACTATTGTAGAACTCAGCAGCTTTGCCTACGACCGAAGAAGAAGTAGCGTGTACAAACCAAAAAGAGTGAGATACAAAGTGCCCAGTTCAACAAATGAGCACATATTCAATACGATTCCGAATTAAACTTCATCCGTGAAACGAAGTTTTTGAGCGGTAAAAATAAGCGATTCTCGATATCACTACAAAGACGCTGAGAGATGGCACAAGTAAGTAAAGATTTCATACTAGTGGCTCGGAAGCCCTTTAAACGTTTCTAGTGGAGGGCGTGCCCAGATCGGCAAGATACTCTGTCCTCTCCACCGACCCCGAAACACACAGTATGCGATGTGATTGAATCACTTCAATACGAGCGGACACATCTTAAAAACATCAACACCTTCAGAACAGTGCACCTCAAGAACTACTTTATTAATTAACTTGCGGACATCTCTCAAATCACTGTGTAATTTGGCTGGGTATTCTGCGCTACTCTGGAACAATCCATGAAATCAAATATCTGCATTTCTAAGATAACAACTTCGGAATCGTCCTAAATCTTATTGCGAATAGTTATCCTATAACATGTCTATTCAAAAAGAGCCAAATTCCAACAAGAGGTTGAATTGGGAAAGCACCGTAAAAGCTATTGAGTGCATTAATCAATTAACAGTAAAATATTCGGTGGTGGTTTGAAAAATGAACAGAGAGCAGAATCACTGCACTATGAAGACGTATGAAATTACTATGATCGTGATAAATGATATACTCCGTTTGTCGTCAAAAGTATATATTAGAGATCTGGCTTTAAGTAATGTACATCCTTTGAGAATGAATTATTTCAAATTATCTACTATACGGGTGGAGTGTTTAGTGCAGTACAGTAACCCATCGACAACTGCTATTCTCACGATTGCGCGTTTTATTCGAGTTCATCTTAAGTCAACCAACTGCGCCACCCATCGGCGGTTGATGGATTCATGTCAATGTGAGATAAACAGTAAACACCCCAACTTACAACAATCTCAAGTTTGGCGAGGTGTGTAGCCACCTACGTATGTTAACAAATAGGCACTAATTCGGCCGTGTTCCTCAGCTAGATTACTTGACGCAGTATACTCCATCCTCTACTCCTTACCATATTGTTTAATTAATGCCGTATTCTTTATCATTTATTCTTCACTGTATTATTTATGTGAAGAGGTTTGGTACTTTTTTGCTATTGAAAAACAAATTATTCACATTACAAATTTCGGCGCGTTTCTCTTCTGGTATGATAATGATGATGACTGCGAAGACTGATATATGGGCGTTGTCCGAGTGCGTCAACGACGACTATTCAATCTGCGCCGTTCATTTTTTTTACCTACAGCTCATTCTCTCTATTGTCATCGTCCAATGTGAAGGCGAACTGGAAGTGTGACTATGTGTATCAACGCGTAGCTTGCGGCTTTTCTTGTCGAATGCTCGGTCACATTAAATGTGGAACTGCAGTTTCTACATCGATTCGGTTCGTTTTATCACTAAAACAACGATAATGTGGTTAGCAAGAATGTGCCAGCAACACCGTTTTTTCTCATTTTACTCTGCATAAAGTTGCAACTTTTTGCGCAAACCGGTCTGATGGCTGCTTTAAGCAACGGTGGTACAATTCGTCCTTCCTGCTTACTTCAGGGATGCCTTCGCGTGTTTTCGGTTACATGAACACGTAGTTTCCAAACTCTGCTCCTAGACAGTGAGACAAATTAAGCGAAGGACCTATTTCTCGAAGAGTCTACGTGAGAAGAAATTTTCAAAACTCTATTGATACTATTGGGTTTCCAACTACATAATAATCACTCTTTCGCATCTTTCGCATTATTTCTCTTTCCTGGGAAAGAAGATATTGGAAGAACTCAAAGAACAGCATTTTCGCTGTTTACTCAACACCGCCTGAGAAGTAGAACTTCAAATTCTTCTTCATATCGTCTTAAGAAAAGACCTTTCAACTGCGATTGGTCTTATTCATAAAGACTCGTAGCGGCTGAATATATCTCCTGCTATGATCGTTTCATAGAAATCCGAACAGTAAGAACGACCTTGACGCGGCAGTCAGCTGCGGTTTCCCTGCTGATGGAGATGGAAACTGATCGAACTTGATTTAAGAAATTAAGCAACCTAGTTCGATGTTCTGGTTACTAAGTTGTTTATGGCAAGATTTCTTCACAATACCGACTATTTTCGACGTCTAAATTTTATTTGTCCTCGGTCAAAAGCAGTTTCTAATTGCAAGGAGTCTAGAATGGTTATGGAAAGAAAAATCCACGTTATCAGGCGAACTCTGGAAAGAAACATTCCAAATTAGCACTCTAGAAATGCCGACATTATTGGGAATTTGGTACATAACAGCTTCTACGCTTTACAGAAAAGGTCACAATCTAATAACAGACTTAGATGTGAGCGCTCGACTCGTTAACCTCGATTTTTCTCTGGACATGCTAGCGTTTTCTCTGATGAAAAAAAACCGAGCACTTTTACAGAACGGTGTGAATATCGCCTGAAAATTTGCTAGGTTGTAAAAGTTAATAGTCAGAACCATAGAAAGCTTGAATCGAGAAACCAGCTATTCGCATAAGTTACATTTGAAATTCCTGTGAAAAATATTAGTCTGAGCATAGATTTGAAGCCCTTGTATTTCCCCTCTTTAACTAGAGAACTTCCACTACTTCGAAATAACCACTAGCAACTAGCCATTAATGAATAAGAAGAAAATCAGTTTTTGGAAAAACAAAACGCTATCGTTTTGGAGGATTGATCGAATTGGCTTCGGTCCAGGTGAGTGAAATTGACGTACGGAATCCCTATACACAACAATTGCCTCTCTTTTTCTTGCGAAAACAGGAAGCAGGATTTTTGCCCTGTTTATCATCTGATTATTGACTACTTGTTAGTATCAGTAACATTTATTTACCAAATAACGAGTTAGCTTTATTTCTCCATACGACGTGTTTGTAGGAAGTATCGACATTGAAAATAAATCGAAGTTATTGGCAATTTTTTACGGTAAAGTGTATGAGGCCCAATAAATGTTACCTATAGAAACTCCGAAACTGCTAAACTAACAGCAGTAGTGTTTTCAATCAGAACGAAAACGTTACTGTGATGTAGCAGCTCCTCTTGGCTCATTAAGGTTCTTCTGTTTCTCACATTTTTCGTGGTTGCACCTATGACCGGTTTGCGAGACGTTGCGCTCTTCGTACATTGTTGAAAAGGAACAATTTAGAAAAAAACGACTCCTACATAATCTAGCAGTC